ACCAGAAATGTCCAGAACAGGCAAATCCATCGAGACAGAAATCAGAATTGTGGTGCCTGGGCTGGGGAGTAGGGGTGGGGGGGGGGAACTGGGGAGTGACTCCTAAGGAGAAAGGGAAGGAATGGTAATTTTCTAAAATGAGATTGTGGTGTTGGTTCAGCAATTCTGTCAATACACCAAAAAACCATTGCATTGTACGCTTTAAATGAATGGATTGTATTCCATGTGAATTATATCTCAATAAAGATGTTTAAAAAGTGCAGAACTTGGGTCAAGCACAGTGGCACACACCTGTAATCCTGGAGACTCAGTGGGGCTTAGTGGGGAGGATAGCAAGTTTGAGGCCAGTCTGGGTAACTTAGGGAGACCCTGTCTCAAAAATAAATAAATAAATGAAAAGGGTTGGGGATGTGGCTCAGTGGTAGAGCGTCCCTGGGTTTCCTCCTTAGTACTAAAATAAAAGTAAGATAGAATAAGTCAACATGCAGAAGTTGAATGTTGTCATTCCTCTGCTCTGAACCCTTCAGAGGCTCCCTGATTTTCTGAGTGAGGTCAATGTCCTCATAATATTCCACAAGGGCCTGGGTCACCTGGCCTCAAGTTTCTTCCCTGACTGAATCCACATCTGCTCCAGCCACCCTGGCCTCCTCGCTGTGCCACGAACATGCCAGGCCACGTCTCTGATGCAGGTTGTTCCCTTTGCTGGGGGACCTGCTCCCCCTAGGCACATTTCCATGAGCTCCGTTAGGATTTGGATATGAAGTGTTCCCCCAAAGCTCACGTGTGAGACAATGCAAGAAGTTTTTGAGGAGAAATGATTGCATTATGAGAACCATAACCCAATCTGTGAATGGATCCTTGATGGGATTAACCGATGACCGGAGGCAGATGGGTGTGGCTGGAGGAGGGGGCATTGGGGGCGTGGCTTTGGGGGTCTATATTTGTCTCTGGAGAGTGGAGTCTCTCTCTGCTTCTGATCAACATGGGAGCTGCTTTTCTCTGCCACAGTCTTCTGCCATATTTTTCTGCCTGACCTCAAGCCCTGAGAAATGGAACCTGCTATCTATGGACTGTGAGCCCCTAAATAAACCTTTCCTCCTCTACAGTTGTTCTGGTTGGGTCCTTTTATTCACAGCAGCAAAAAAATCTGACGAAAACAAGTTCCTATGTCCGTCAAGTCCCCTTTTCCCAGGGTCTTCCTTGGCTCCTCCATTTAGCATCTGGCCCACTTGGCCTCCCTTACTGCAGTTCCCCTTACCATTTTACAAAGAATCCCCAGTGCCTGCTAAAAATGCCATATGGTTTATGGTTTGTTATGATCTGACTCTCTCTCTACCAAAATGCAACTCCAGGAGATCCAGGATTGTCTTGTCTTGATCACTGCCATGGTCCACTGGCCAGAACAATACCTGTCATATCCAGAACCACATAGCAGGTTCTTGATAAATATTTGTGGAGTGAATGACTGAGAACATGTGGGGAAAACATTGTTTCTTTCCAGCTCCCGTCTTCCCTGCCCACCTGTGATGATCAAGGCTGCAGAGCCCTGACCTTCAGTTTCCCAGCTGATCATCAGGAGGAGGCTTCCAGGGAGCTTCGGGGGAAAATATTTAACTCCCCTGACCAAAGGAAAGAAGCCGAGGAGCCAGAACCTCCGAGTGTCTTGTCTACACCGTCTTCTCACATTTAATGGTGGACACGTGAGAATGTCATCCCAGAAATTCTTCTTTTCACTTACATACCTTTTGCAAGATTAGAAATCTGGATTATCCTCTCTGCCCACCCTTTGATAACCCACTGTTCTCCCCGTTTGGTGTGTCATGTCATCTTGATCTGTCTGCAGGTATTTATTGAGTACCACTTATAATGACAGCTGGGCGGGACAGATCAAAAAAAAACCAGTGGTTTGTTCTGAGTCCAGAGGGGAGGGCAGAATGATGACAGGTGGGTCCTGTCCTGGGGACAACTCAGAATCCAATTGGGGAAAAGGCAGGAAAGGTTATTGGGGAGCTGTCCCAGGAAAGAGGTGATCCGAGGCGCAGGGGCTCCCACAGCTTTGATTGCAGAGCTTGGGTCTGGGTTTGACTTCAGCCGGAGCTGTCCTGTTGGCAACAATATATACCTCTGGATCTGGGAGGGGGAAACTGCGGGGTAGTTTCATTCGGCGTTTTCTGCATAATGTAAATGTAATTAATCATGTCTAGAATGGTTTATAATTTAGCATTTTTTTTCCCTTTTAGCCATCTAATTAAACTCAATTAAGCTTTACAAGTAGTTATTTTAGAATTTCTCTTGGTGTACCCCCACTGGTGTAGGACAGAAAACTCACATTTAATATGTTTCAAGGTTTTCAAAATGAACCTCAGCGTCTACTCGAGTGAAAGGCATTCTTGTATTCCTGCAACTTCAATTCGCCCTAGAAAAGACTGGAGAAATGTTTCTTGTTTCTTCTTAAAAAACTTTTCAGGCTTTGAACAAAGATGGGAACTCAAATGAGCTGGGGAAGAATTGCTCGACAGGTCTGAGGGTGACCATGTAGGTCAGTACCTGCTTCTGGATGTAGCCCTTCCTGAGTTTTCAGCTCTGACTCAGATTAGAAGCCACACAGACACTTTTCTGTCTCTTGGACAAAAGCCTGTCTCCCCATACACGGTGTAGAGCTTGTTTTAGTGACATAGTGATGAAGTTGGACAGATGGGCTACTTATCCCCTTCTCCTCTGCCTACCCTGAGCTTACAAATTACCTGTTAAAGTCAGAGAAAAATTCCTTGAAATACAAATTTTAAAAATTTTATTAATAATCCAGGAAAAAAAAAGATAAATTAAGGCAACAAGAAGACAACATTTTCTCCTACAAAATGGTCTAAGGTGAGAGCTGGGTATAAAGGCACATGCTTGTAATCCCAGAGGCTCGGGAGGTGAGACAGGAGGATCACGAGTTCAAAGCCAGCCTCAGCAATGGTGAGGTGCTAAACAGCCCAGTGAGACCCTGTCTCTAAATAAAATATAAAATAGGGCCGGGATGTTCCTAAGTGGTTGAGCGCCCCCAAGTTCAATCCCCAGTACCCTCCCCCCAATAAAACCCCCACAATTGTCAAAGGTGAATATTGATGATTAATGGTCAGGACTGTTGGGCTGCTGGCAGAAGTTTGCATCGGTACAGTCTTTCTGGATAATAATAGGAAAGTTAGTAATGAGAATCTGAATTTGGATGACTTTTGTATAATCTTTGAACCAGAAACCTATATCATTAAGACTATATCAATGAAAAATGGGTCTTAGGCAAATATGTGGCTAAGAGGATTTTCATTCATCTGGTTATTATTCGCTATAATTTTTTAATTTTAGGGTTTTTTTTTGGTGGGGGGTACCAGGGATTCCACTCAGGGACACCTGACCACTGAGCCATATCCCAGCCCTATTTTTTGTATTTGATTTAGAGATAGGGTCTCACTGAGTTGCTTAGCACTGGGGCTGGCCTCCCAAGATTACAGGTGTGGAATTACAGGTGTGCTCCACTGCTCCAAGCTGATTTTAATTGTTGATACTGAGGCTATCCTCAGTACTCAGGGATGCTATACCACTGAGCGGCTTCTCTAGTTTTTATTTTTTTATTTTGTAACAGGGTCTTGCTAAATTGCTGAAGGTCTTGCTAAGTTGCCGAGGGTGGCCTCAAACTTGTGATCCTCCTGCCTCAGCCTCCCAAGCTGCTGGCACTGATCACAGGCATGCCCCTCCAAAGCCTGCTATTTGCTATAACTTTTTCAAAAAGAAACTTTAAAATGCAATTTTCTTTTCTGCATTGTCTTGTATATACTACTTCGCTTTAATTCCCCAAAAAGAGCCATATTGGAAATGCCAGACGAACTCCTTTGAGAAGAACAATGTGGGTGTCCAGAGGTTCTCCCTGGAGTTGGATAACCTGAATTCTGGGCTGGTGCCAATAATAATAATAATATTAATAATAATAATAATAATAATAATAATAATTCCTTCAGTCATTCAACATGAACATGTATTTGCTAGTTTGAGATGCAAGAAGCAAAGTGACTTGTCCAGGGCCACCAGTCCAGGAGTGCCAGAACTATAACTCAGATCTCCTTGTTCTCTGGAGAATCTGGGCGAGGCTCAGGGAAGGTAACTGCTTTGTTGATGGGGATGGTGGTCCATGGAGTAATGGTGTGGTTCGTGGTGATGATGTTAGTGTCTGTAACAGTGCTGTTGGTTTGTAGTCATAGAATTGCTGTTGGTGTTTGTGGCAGTGATGGAGTTGTTCCTGGCCATACTGGTTGCAAAGAGTTGTTTTTGGTGGCAGTGGGGGCAGTGAGAACATTGGTGTAAGTGGCAGCAGGGGGCTGTTACTGGAGGTAATGACAGCATTGCACAGGAATGGTGGTGGGTGTCAGAGATGAACCTGAACAGGATGGTTCACATCAAACATCAGAGCCCATAGTGGTGGTGCACACCTGTAATCTCAGAAGCTCAGGAGGCTGAGGCAGAAGGATCGAGAGTTCAAAGCCAGCCTTAGCCACTTAGCAAGGGCCTAAGCAACTCAGCAAGACCCTGTCTCTAAATAAATTATAAAAAGGGCTGGGGATGTGGCTCTGTGGTTAAGCGCCCCTGGGTTCAATTACCAGTATCATTTAAAAAAAAAATCAGATTTTAAGAAATGCAAAAGCAATCATTTTGGTTATTTTCCATCATTTCTTTCCTTTTCCTTATTTTCCCCCTCCCCGTTGCTCTTTATCCCCCACCTTCTTGGTATCACAGATACCTGCTTTCGTCTAGGAGTTCTCCTTTCTTTGGGTCTGCTGATTATGTCTAGAATCAAAGTATATATTATCAGGACGGCAAGCCATATACCTTTGCTTTGCTTTATAAATCATATGTTCCATTGTCAGGGAACAAATGCCTGCATCCTATAAAAATGTGGTCTTTTCAGAACAAGTCTCTTAAATCACCGGGAGTTCTTTTCAACTTGTGTTCTGTTGCACATGACCTAACAGGCTGTAGTTACAGGACCAGCTGAATGGAGAGATGAATGGAGAGACTGATAACTGCCATAATAATGACCCAGGGGACGTGTCGGTTTCCCTTCACCATTCTATCCTCGGCACGTTTGGCTCCTGTGGGATGAAGCCTGCCTTCCGTTTCCTGTTGGCATTGATTCCAGAAAAGACTCAATTAAAAGGAGTCTAAGGTGGGTATTTTTGGAGATACTGGTTAGCGCTGTCGGCATTTGTGTAAAACACAGAGGCATTGTTTGCATTTAATCTCTGATTGCTGTCTGATTCCGTCGGTCCTCCCTCCCCTTACTGCGTTTTTCTTTTTTCTTTTTTTCCTGAGTGGGTGAGTACGTTGACGGCATGCTGATCATATTTCGAGGCTGCCATGGGGCTGAGAGAAGAGCTAATAGACAGGATGAAAGAATAATGAGCCAAAGCGGTGTTGACAGTCTGGGAAGCCGGGTCAAGTCAAGCAGCCTGGAGCATAGCCCACTAAATGCACCGGCCAGCACCTGAGTCCAAATGAGAAGTTCTTCAAGGACAGCAGGTAAGGACAGCCTGAAAGCCTAGAATGCGGAGGTTCATGAGTTGTCATCCACTGTGACCTCAAGGTAGTGGGTAGCTGCTAAGGAAGTAAAATCTAGTCTCCTGAGAATAAGAAGGAGACCCAGTTATCCCACTCTGTGGTATTTACCCAAAGGACTTAAAATCAGCATATTGCAGTGATGCAGTCATATCAATGTTTATAGCAGCTCAATTCACAGTAGCTAAGCTATGGAACCAACCTAGGTGCCCTTCAACACATGAATGGATAAAGAAAATATGGTATATGTACATAATGGAATATTACTCAGCCACCAAAAAGAATGGAATTATGGCATTTGTCAACAAATGAATGGACCTGTAGACTATCATGCTAAGTGAAATAAGCCAATCCCCCAAAGCCAAAGGCTGAATGTTCTCTCTTATATGTGGATGCTAACACAAGGTGGGGGAGGGGAGAATAGAGTTCATTGAATTAGACAAAGTGGAATGAAGGGAAGAGAAAGGGAAGAAAATAAAAGAATTAGGAAGAAGTAGAGTTCTGTCTGGAAGACTGTACCAGGGCAGGGGGCTCATAGAGTTTTCTTTATCTCATTCAACAAACAGGGACTATACTGAGGAGAGAGGTCAAGATGATGGGTCTTAGGTATGGACTTGGAATGTCATATGGAACTCAGTGTAGGATACTGTACTCCCAAGGCTCTGGTGAGCTATTCTTAGTTAAATTATATCGTGAATCACTTTATGGAATGATTATATGATAGAACAAGATGTCTGGAGGTAGGCTACTCCAGGCCAAGCAACAGTCGCTTAACATTATCATCCAAGACCCACACACTCCTTCTAGATTTGCTGTGAATCCTTGGCATCTTGGCTTCTCATCTGTAAGTTTATCATCTCATGGTACCAAGATGATTGCCATAGCTCCAAGCATCCCACTCATACACGATCACACTTGAGGCATGGAGAAGTGGAAGATTCAGAGACGGGAAATCTCTTCTCAAATAGATCAACCTTTCACCAGGAAGCAGAAGCTTTTCCAAAAATGTCTTAGCAGGCTTCCTCATATCCCATTGGCCTGATTGTGTCATTCCTTTGGCTCTTCAGTTTCAAGACTAGCTAGATCTCACCCCTGGGGCTAAAGACTTGAGCTCATCACTGCTCACCCCATAATAAAAGAGAAACTGGCCTTCTCTTAGCCTAGAAGAAAGGGGTGAGGAGTAGCTGTTGAACAGGTGACAGGTGTATCTACCATGGAGCATAAGCTTGCTGTTCCAAATGAGAAGGTGCTATATGCAGAAGAGGGTTTGATTAAGAGGCATCAGAGGCAAAGTCTGGGCAAATGTTGTGCGATTCAGTAGAAGCTACAAGGAGGCCGGGGTTTGGTTGTACTCAAGTCAAGATTTCCTGATAATTGATTAACCAGAAATGGAGGGTGGTGCTTAGATGCAGGGGTGAGCAGAATTGGCACTCACTTGGTAGGAGGGTCAGAGTGGAGGGGACTCCTGCGCCAGTTTTGGGCTGGGGAAGGTGGGGGGAGAGGGCAGGCATTTACACTGACCTGTGAGGTTCCTTCCAACCCAGACAGCCTATGATTCTAGTAATTAGTTTTTTTCCCCTTTGAATGTTCATTAGATAATTATGCTAATTGGAGATAATGTTTCTACTAAGTGAGGGATAATTTCCAGCTGAATGGTATTTTTTATCTTTAGCATCATTGTGTGAGATAGAGTTTGCCTTGGACCTGGGCCTATACTTGTTTATAACTTACTTTTACAAGGACAGAGCACAGGGGGGAGGCATTTTTCCCCGAATAATGTTGTGGATCATGTGCATGGAACTAGCTAACTGGCATTTTAAGCATGGATTCAATGGCCCCATGAATCTCGTTAGGTTTGCCCCACTGAGGCAGAGTATCGCCTGGGCAGAGTCACCCAGGCGATGCTATTGTGCTCCGGATAGTTTGTGCTGCTAGGGTAGTAGTAACCCCTGTGGATCAGGGTATCAAGGAGAAAAAGGCGAGTCTAGCTGATTAAGAGAACGTGCTCAATTCTCTACAAAGGAGAGATGGTTTAGGGTGTTCCAGGTTTCACACCAGACACAACTCTCTTTCAAAGCTTCTAGAAGCTTCTCGGGCAACATTCTCAATCCCCCCACCGATCCTTAATAAAGGACTTGGATTAGACACCCGTTGGGTGTCTTCTTTCCTCTCCTCTTTCCATACTGCCACTTCCTGTGTTAGTAAGGACGGTCTGGTTTATATGAGAAGACCTTCCACCATCATGGTTGGTGGGATCATGAGTGTTCATCTGGCATCGGGCCAATCAGATTCTGTCCTCAGGGAATTTGGAATTGGGATCTGGAGGAGTGAGTCCGTTTGTTTCTGTTGGATGTCTGGTCACATAGACAGCATGGTTGCCACCTTCTACTGTGAACTCAGAAAAACCTACAGAGGGATGAGAGAGGGGTAGGGGGAGAAGACCTGTGGTCAAAGGGGAGACTGAGGCCTGGTCTTCCTGGATTTGGCCTTGCCGTCTGTCCTAGCATCTTGTTCCCTCGAAGGCCCCTGGAAATTTCCTTACCTCCCCATCCGTGCCACACCTCAGGGTCCATTCTGTAACTCCTCCCCTAATTTACTGAAGCTGTTTGCATGGATTTTTGTTACTGACAGGAACTGAAGAGAGAGCCCACCCTTAGGGAGAGTCCTAACAGAGAGGCTGATGCAAATTTAAAAAAATACTTTTATTGTTTTCTCCACATACAAAATTATAAATGCTCATTGTCGTAAAAAATATAGAAATGAGTATTGTAGAGTGTTATGTTAGTCATAAAGCTGACTAACCTAACACTCTACAATATACATATTTGGCTGTGACCAAAATACCTGACCAAAACAATATAGAGAAAGAAGAGTTTATTTGGGGATCATGGTTTCAGAGGGTCAATCCATGGATGGCTGACTCCATTGCTCTGGGCCTGAGGTGAAGTACTAGACCGAAGGGTGAGGTGGAGGAAAACTGATCCATTCATGGCAGCCGGGAAGGAGGAAGATAGAAACAGAGAGAGGAAGAATATACTAGGAGCCAGTAATAAAATATAATCCTCCAAAGGCACACTGCCAGTGACCTGCTTCCTACAGTCATGTACTACCTTGCTATGGTTACTACTCAGTAATCCATTCAAATTATTAATCCATTGGATGGGATAATCCACTGGTTAGGTCACAGCTCTCAGAATCCAATCATCCCACCTGTGAACATTCCCACATCTAGACTTAACCTTTGAGGGTAGGGGACACCTCATATCCAAATCATAACAGATGTGGAAATCCCCACCATAATCCCCTCAAAGATAATTGCTCTCAATAGTTCAAAGGCAAGAAGGAGGTGTGAGCATGAGCAGGTTTAAGCTGGTCTTTATTGGTCCTTACCATGACCACACATTGCTCTAAGCACTTCGCCAGTATTAACACCATTAATTCTTACCTGAGGTAAGCAGGATTTTTAAGTCCATGGATATATACCAAGGAATGAGATAACTGGGTCAAATGGTGGTTCCATTCCAAATTTTCTGAGAAATAATTATACTGCTTTCCAGAGTGGTTTCACCAATTTGAAGTCCCACCAGCAATGTATGACTGTGCCTTTTCCCCCCACATCCTCACCGACATTTATGGTTCCTTACATTCTTGATATTTGCCGTTCTGACTGGAGTGAGATGGAATCTCGGGGTGGTTTTAATTTGCATTTCTTTAATGGCTAGAGACTGAATATTTTTTTCAGACTGAATTTCTTCTTCTGTGAAGTGCTTGTTCAGTGAGGAGGGGAAGGTTTCACCTGCCATGTATCCTACAGAATTTTTTGCCTCACTTCTGTCACTAGACCATCTACTTGGAATCTTTCTACATCAGAACATAGGGATACAAGCCATTCTTTTTTTTTTTTTGTGACCACTTAGTTTTCCACCATGTGGGTGGCCTGGAGGAACATGATCTCTGTCTTCCAAGGCCACCGCCTCTGCTTGAAGCCATTGGTTCTGGAGGATCCTCAGAGCTGGCCCAATTTGTGGAAGTATGTACTCTGAACTAACCCTCCAGCTAAAAATAGGGTGCTTGTGTATCTCCCAGTGAATTTCTCACCACAGGGGCCTCCAAGAACTTCCATGAACATGGTACTCCTGGTGAGTCTCTGAGGAGGCCTGGGTATTTTGGAGGAAGCAGTTGAGTCTTGGCCACTCCTGGGAGGGCCATGGAGTGCTCTGCACTTGAAAGGGCAGGTGTGTGACACTCTGGGGTGACCCCCTGGGTCAGTGCATCTTCCATCCAATGGAAGAAGGTCCTGCTTTCTTTGCCGCGGCTTCCCCTGTTGCTCCCTCATGATGCAGGACCAGCTCACTCCTTCACTCTGCTCAGTGAAACTAGTGATGACTATTTCTTGCATGACCCTCCAGCCACAGACTTTAGACTGTCTTTCATTTGTCCTTTGCTTTATTCAGAATTTTAATAAAGAGACTTTTTTCTCACTTTTCATTTCTCTGACAAATCTGAAATCACAGAGTGTGACTTCTCAACAGCTCTCAGAAGCTTTTCAAAGCTCCCCCCTCCCTGTCTTTAGAGTAGCTTTACCTTTCTGATTAATAAACAGTTGTAATTTACTAAAGTTTTAGGGTCTACTGGGCTCTGTGCTATGTGATTTGTCAGAGAAAGCTCTTGGACACCATGGACAGCTGAGTTATTTTCATGATCCCCACATAACAGAGGAGGATGCTGAGGCTGAGAAAGTGCCTGGCTTGATGTCATTGAGTGAGGAAGCGGCTGCATCTGAATTTACAACTTAGAAAAACCCCACTCCTGCCAGGCACGATGCCACCTGCCTGTCATCCGGCGACTTGGAAGGCTGAGGCAGGAGGATCGTGAGTTCAAAGCCAGCCTCAGTAACTTATCAAGGACCTAAGCAACTTGGTGAGACCCTGTCTCAAAACAAAGAGTTAAAAGAGCTGGGGATG